TCAAATTGTTTGATTGTCCCCTTAAAAACAATAATATCATGCAAAGTTGTTGAAGAACGAAGCAAAGAATAAAGGATTGGAATCTCAACTCTGAAGTGGGAGAGGAATTATATGCTTTTTGGGCATTTTGGGGGCAAAGTTGTTGGGAATTTTGAGCACCATAATCCCACAGAAGTGATAAAGAAATTGAGACAATAATTTAACATGATTCAACTTATATATCTTTAAATAAGTCTACATTCACAGGAAAAAGAGAAATAAATGTACTATTAAAAAAAATAATACAATAATTTAGAAACTTTATCATTTAAAAAGCTCTCAACACCCTAACTTCAATATATATAAAAACCTCCAAATTCTCCCTAATGCTCTCTCTCTCAACCTTTATAAGGATTATCTTACAATTTCTCTCTTTCTTTTCTCTCACAAGAGCCCTCACTCACTTAACTCTTCTCAATTTGGCGTAGAAGCCGATACCAAAACACCAATTTTGACAAGATTTAAAATCTCACTACGATGAATTCGATTGCCAAGTTCACCACTTAGGTTGGCAAGACCTAAGATACAGAGATAAATGGAGAGAATCCACTCTCAAGAAACTCATTCAACAGAGGAGAATTATAATTGAAATTTTTGGATTAAAACTTATGCATACAACGAAGGGAACATAACTATTTATAGGCAAAATCTAACATAAGGCAATAAATGAAAAGTGAAAATGCAATTGGGAGTTAGCCATCTTTGTGGAATTTAGTGGCCATTTTTGACAAAATTGCACCGGCCTATTTGTAGTCTGCAGAGTGTAGTCTGAAATTTGCTGACTTGCAATCCTAGTGCACTTTCCTGGTGCTTTCCCCCGGTGCACAATTTATCTTGCTTTTCTCTCACTCTTGCTTGCTTGTTGCCTTTGCATGCATGGGTATTTATAGTGAAAAATCCAACCACCCATGCACCATTTTCTTTGCCTGATTAAATGAATTCATCAAGCAATTTTACATGATTTCAACAAAGCAA